GGTGGTAGATATATAATACAAGTATGTGTACCAGAACAGTTGTGTTTCTATTTGGTGCATTTATCATTTATTGTGAAAAGTCAATTTACACATCTTATCATACTCTATCTTGATACTTTCTTCCTTTCGTCCCTACTAGGTACTAGTACCCTTTAGTAAAAGCCAGGGTTCTAGCTAGGATTTTATTTTAGCGTAGTGGTACCTGATGCACGTCGAGGGAGCGAAGCGACCGAGAGGGGGGATGGGGCGGAAGGGGGGATGTGCCCCCTTCCGCAGTGCGGAGCTTTTAAAAATTTAAGCTTAAAAAGCAGCCGTTTGAGGGATACCCAAAGGGAAAAAATGTCATTTCTAAGGTATGTACAATGTATCCTTGATTAGTAATCTTTATATTTTTGCAGCTTGGAATCTTCACAAAATACAGAAGATACTCCAAATCAGACACAACCAAGAACAGACTCTGAGATAAATTAAATGTTAAACATAGCAGCTGGTGTGCAAAGTTGTAATACTCTACATGCAAAAAAAGTAACTATAAATAATATAAGAAATACGTCTGTTTTGGCTGCTAATAGTGTCTCATTATGAGGCACTTTTAATTTCCTTTGTGCCATTTCTGTTCTGCAAAACTGGGCCGAAATTTGACGTGATTCAACACGTGGCTTTGTTGTTATTGTCAAGCTTTGATGCTGACATGATTACAGGCACACCCAGTATGTTGACATAGATCGCACAGTAGCTAAGAGCATGAAATCGGCATGGCACCAGCACTGACGCATATGTGGAAGGAAAACCCACGTGTGTCACAAAGATCACAAACGCCGATAAAGAAAAACTGCAAAAATTTGACAAGAGAGCAATAATTTGTATTTACTTGTTTAAACTATGAACGGATCCAAGGGGTGAACTCCCTTGTTTAGTTTACTAAAGTGGCAAATTTTCAACCAACGCAAGTTTGCCGCTGTGGGCTTTAGAGGCCCCTCCCCTTTTCGGGAGCCGGCTGGAACTGTAAAGCACTTTAATTATTAGGCTGGTGACTAAGTACATTGTAACTCTTTGTATTTTTTCACCTTGGCAAGATATAGAATTAATGCAATTTAGTGGAAGGTGTTTATGTCCAGAGTTACAAGGAGAGATCTGTTGAACACGGGAGGAAACATATTTGTGCTACATACATCGTGGCGTGGGAATTGTTAAATAGGCCAGCCCATATATGGCGTCCCAAAGGGAAAGCCGACACTGTGAAGGGGGCGGAACATCCCTTCTACAGACTGGGCTAGACACCCTGACGCCAGTGTCTGGGCGTCAAGAGACTGCCGCTGTCACTCACAGAAGGGCGGCAACACAAGTTGTAAAGAACCAAGGCCCCGCCTAGGCCCGCCCCTGTTGTCCTGGGAGGGCCGCCACGTGCGTTACTTTGCTAAAAAAAAACATTTTTCACATTTGATCTGGCATTTTTTAACAAAGAAATGCAGTCACAATGCCGCTACGTTGTATTGAAAATTAGCGTAGCGGGGGAAAATTGGCGTAGCGGGTCAAAATTTTAGCGTCGTGGGCCCCGACGCTACTTAGCGCTAGCTAGAACCCTGAAAGCATACATAATCAAAATAACTCACTAAATCCTTAATCTCTATACTTAGAGTCCCCTTAATTAGTTAAGATTCCCTGGAGTAGAGCATGTCCATAGGATAACCAATATAACTCACCACAGCCTCTCCAGTGTTGGGTGTTCCTCAGCAGCCTGCACCACAGCCTGGAACCCTGCAGGCTCCATGGAGATGTACCGCAGGACCAGCTGCTCCAGGGCAGGGAGTCTGGGTAGAGCCTCGGCCAGATCCATGGCAGCGGTGTCAGACAGGTGTGCAGGTGTGTCTGAGTGACCAGACATGTCCAGCCTGGTCAGTGCCGGCAGTGTGCTGATGAGCTGTGCGACCCTCCCCAGTCCGGCTCCTGTTACTCCCCTATTCCTCCGGATGTGCAGCTCCTGTAGTGTGATGTTATAGTGAGGGGCTGTGGTCAGACTCTTGTCACCAGGTGGGTTTTGTTCCATGTCCAAACTGCTGGGCTGGCAGAGTGTTTGCACCAGTGAGACAATCCCTGAGTCTCCTATGTTATTCCAGCTCACATCCAACACCTGTAATTGCACCAGGTGAGGCAGAGCTTTGATCAGGGATGATATTCCCCTGTCACCGATACCTGTCATACTGAAAACCAACACCTTCATGGCTGTGAGGTGGTGGAGGATAGCAGCCAGGCATTCCAGCCCGGAGTCTCCTATGGCATTACCACTAATGTCCAGTTTGATCAGTCTGGTTAACTTACACAGTGCAGGGACCAGTGTGCGCATGCCTGTGGGGCTGATACCGGTCTTAAACAGGCCCAACACCTGCATGGCAGTGAAGGTGTGGAGGATGGTGGTGAGAGATTCCAGCCCAGTGTCACCGATCTTATTACCACTTATATCCAGTTCTCTCAGTCCCACAAGGTGGCGCATGTAGGGAGCCAGGGATGACATGCCCACAGCTGTCATGCTAATTTCCCTAAGACGGAGTACAGCCAGGTGTGGAACACTGGACAGCCCAACCTGTAGGACTTCCATCCCAGTATCACGAAGAGCACGGTTCCAAGACAGATCCAGCTCCTCTAACAGAGACATGTGTCTGAACCCCTGCACAAGTGGCTGGAGTGATGATGGTGTTAGGTTTGTGCGTGACAGATCCAGCGCCCTCAGACAGGGAACATTCTTAAGAACTGAAACCAGCCTGGCTGTCAGATCAGGTGAGTCAAACTGTCCTGACAGTTCCAAGTCCAATCTAAGTCCAGGGAGTGAAGTTGTAAAACACTGCTGTAGGTACTGAACTGTGTCTCTGCTGTCAGTGCCCCAATGGATCTTAAGTATGAGCCTGTCTGGCAGGTTTACTGAATTCAGATTTTGTATATAATACTTAAGACCTGTGGCTTCTCTACTGTTAATGGAGCTGTCCAGCATGACAATTGGCAGGGCTTGACTGATACCCTGAAGCACTTCTGGTTCTTGTCTCTCACTAAGGATGTTCAGGCACAAGTGTGCAAACCTTTCATAGGTTTGGCAGGACTTTTGCACATCTTGATCCATTGGAATGTCTTGATTCATTGACCATTTTAATATTTCAAAGTGTTCCGGTTGCAAGTGTGTGAACTCCCTGCTGCTGAGCTTGCTTAGTTCCTCCATCACAGCTTGTGCTGCCCGTGAGTCACAGCCACATGTGAACTGAAGCAGGTTACTGAGTTCAAGTGCCTTGCTTATGGAGGTGAGCTGCAGCAGCTCAACAATGTCTGGGTTCACTTGAGCATGAGCTACATATCGTCCAGCCAGGAACTCTTGCATGGTCTTGTGTGAAAAGTTCAGCTGTTTCCTAGGATGCAATTTAGAGGAAGAAACCTCCAAGGAGACCACACCCAGCTTCAACAGCAACTCCCAATTAACCTTTTCTCTCTTTACTTCTGTAAGGTCAAGCAGGGTCTCATTCCTCAGCAGTGCCTCTAGTGCAAGCTTGCCGAGCTGCAGTAATGTCTCAGCAACCTCTGTAGGCAGCCCTTCTGTTGGCATGTCCACTCCTTCCCGCTTACAGCACTTTCTGACCAGACATGTCAGCAGGTTGTCGTACAGCCCCATCATTGTTCCAGTAGACACCATCTCTTGGTCCTCCTCCCACAGCAGACACACAAACATCAGGAACATTGGTGTTTGGATTAAAGTGTTCAAAAGTCGATTACTGTTTACATGTACAGTTAGTGTCTTTGTCAGTTCTTGCTTCCTAACAACAGTGAAATACTGCTGCATGTATTTCTCCACATGTCTACGGGAGAAGCCCATGATGTGTACATGACAGTCTGGCCGGGTGTACTGCTGCACTCCTGCTGAGGGTCGGGAGGTGATCACAATCGTGCTGTTGGGGTACATCTTGCCAGACAGCAGTTTGGGAATGGCCTGCCCGGCTGCCCTGGCCTCAGGCCGCAGCTCATCATACCCATCTAGGAGGAAGAGCACACGGGACTCGTTTCTCTCTAAGATTGCTTCAATGTACTCTACAGTAACATCTTTTCTTTTGGGAACACACTGGTCCCACACCATCTCCTCTATGGTCTCCCCCTCTCTCACCTCCCGGAGTCGGATCAACAGGACGATGTCGTGCCGTCTGCCCAGGTCTGTTTTCTGTGAGATGGCATCTAGGGCTTCTTTGGACAGAAACGTTGTCTTCCCCCCTCCAGCTTCACCCTCAATCAGAATGCACCTTGGTGCTGTGGACATTCCTGTTATATCTGGCTTGAACAAGTCGTCTAATGACTTAAGTTCTTTTGTCTGTTCTTCTTCCCTTGAAAATAACCAGTGGTGTACTTTGTGTCTAGGCATTTTCAGTTGCTTTTGACTTGATGGTATCAACTCTAACTGGGTGAAGATGTCACTGAGGCTAAGTGTGAAGTTGTCATTCCAGATCAGAGGTTTGAAGTGAGTCAGTTTCAACTCATAGTACTTCTTCACAGACGTCTGGAACAAATCTGGAATAGAAAAGATACTAAGATTTCAAACTCAATCTTAGTGGAAACATAACTTATCAACTATACAAATCATTACAAATATCAGAGAAAAAACTGTCAGGTTGAACTCAGTACTCGTTGCTTATCAAGCTTGCCAGGACTTCTCTTACTACTCCAAAGTGATGGTTACACTAGAAAACTAAAAGAAAAAGAAGATATGGTAGGAACTACTAGTATATAGTCTAGGAGCTCACTTCCACTGTGCACAACCCTTTGAACATTATGCATAATTTTGCATATGATTAATCCCTAGGGGATCATTACTGGCTGCTACATATTTCATCATTTTTACATATAGTTTGTGTAGTATGTGATATTTGCCCAACTTGGTTAAGGTTGCTGAGATATAGAAGGTCAATCCTAAATTAAACTGACTACAAGTATAACTATAAGACATACTATTTTACCACTCATGGTCCTCTCACCTGACTGTCTAGAAGGAGTTGCTTTCTTCTTCACTGGAAGCTGCCTTTTCCTCTTTCTCTTCCTCTTCAGCTGGCTGCTAGAGGCTCGGGGTGAACCTGTCTCAGAGAGGTGGATTTTTGATCAGTAATGATGTCAACTCAGCTTCTGCAGTGACACAGCTATCATGTGTACAAAAAATTATTAGTTCTCAGGATGAGGTTTTATGCTTTAGTATCTAATTTCCAAACCTCATTTCCTCATCTCCTTATGTTTGTAACTGATTGATAAAGTTCAAAGTTGGAGAATTTGAAAAGGTCATATTGTTTCCTTCTGGTGATTTGATCATGTTTCCATATGGTGACTTGATCGTGTGTACAGTTTAAGTTCTCAGGATGAAGGACTATTCTTCATGTCCAAACCTTATTCCCATATCTGATGTCTGTAATTCACGTGCTAATGAAGTTTCATAGTGGAGCATATTAACATGAAAAAACTATATGTTCCCATCTGGTGACTTTAACTGCAGTGGGCAGTATGTATAGTTTACAGATGGCTCCTTCAAAATGACCATGCCTACATTGTTATATCACTATATAACCTCTCACCTTCCTCTGTACAATGTGCCAGTTTCTTCTTCTCTGGAAACTCTTCTCCATCCTCCCCCTTCCTCTTCAGCTGGCTGCTAGAGGCTCGGGGTGAACCTGTCTCAGAGAGATGGATTTTGTAAAATTTCCGAACCCTATTCCCACATTATGAATACTATTATTGAAAACCTGATCAGATTCCAGCTTGAAAACAGGCACATGTCAACATTTCAAGATTTCTAGTAGTGGCATAAATTAATGGCAGTTTTTGGTATAGTATGCATGACTTTTTAAGTAACTGTTATTAATGTAACTTTTAGTTATAAATTATAAATTGATGACAAAATTTGTATAACTGGTCAATTAGTAGTTTTTGTAATTTGACAGAAATTGGAAGTCTTTAGAAGTATTTTTACCTGGTTCCGAGGGATTCCTTGACCCTCCATCAGTGGCTGTTTCCCCGGTAAGAGTTGCACCGCTCTTTCCCTTCTGGACTTCAGAAACGTGACCTGCACACATGTACAGTTGGACTTTAGACATTCTGCTGTAGGAAATGATTACCTTTGACACGAATTTACAGATGAATTAAAAACAGTTTCATTGTGGATATTTTGAAAATTAAATATTTTTTTCTTCAGACTTATTTAGAAAGTCTTAACTATTTTTTTGGTACTTTGGTACTATGCTCTTATACAATTTTCATATCATTTGGGTAGAAAGGGGAAAAAACATCCACTGATGCATTTATGCTAATGAGGACGTTGAATAATTTCATTACGCATCAAAACACTGATGTCATTTATCCAGTTTGAGACAGAACAGAAACACCTTGTAATGAAACAACAATTTCCCCACCTGCACATCCAAATGCCTGAAGGAATTGCTGATGAGACTCTTCCCAGTATTTGGACTCCAGGAGTTTCTTCTTGAGTTCTGCAGCCCGACGGAACTCGGCTTCTGACATCCGCAGAACATCCGCAATCTGATCTGCCCAACGTCCGACATCTACAGAATCGTCACCCGTGATTCTGAGAACAGAGTGGTGGAATTCTGGTATAACCTTCTTGACCAAGTCCGCCAGTCCTGATTGGTCAGATATGAGGACCGGTACGCCGGCCGCCATGGCCTCCAGACCGACCAGTCCGAAGGGTTCTGCACGGGAGGGCATGAGAACCAGGTGGGCCTGCTTCATGTCTCGGCAGACGTCTTCCTGGGTGCCGTGTGGGAGAAGGGTGGGGATCAGTTTTCCTGAGTTGATGCTGGTTTGGAGAATGTCCATACTGGCCTGATACTCCTCTTCACTGACACCACAAATCCGCAACTTGATTCTGTCCTGATTCTTTTCTACCACTTTTGACAAGACCTTAGCTGCCAAGTCAAAGCCTTTCACCCTCTCATCTGTGGTCACCCTACCAATTAATAGGACAACTTTCTGACTGGTTTTCACATGCTTAACTGTAGTGTTCAGGAACAAGTCTGATGGTTTGGGCAGGAAGAGGTAGTGAGCTGGCTTCTTGTCTTCATCAGGAATTGCACAAAATGAGATTGTAAAGTGGTCGTGTGCTCTGTGTCCCACAGAGAACACAGTATCTGCCTTCTCTGCATCTTGTCTGATGGAGTCTTCCTTCTCACCGATGCCCATGGCCTTCTCATCTTCCTTGTACTTCTCTGTGTCTTCAGGTATAGCCTGGGTGACAAGACTGAGGCTTGCTTGGGGGAAACGCTGTTCCTTGATAGTTGCTGCTGCTCTGCTGGTGACCCCAGCATGACCCACAATCCACCCTACATCCTGTGGAAGTCTGTCATTGGGGTAGCGATCCACATGGTCAAAGGTCAGCCAATCCAGACAGGGTTCCCTTGTGTCTCCCTGACTGCGGGTTGGGAGGATGAGCTCCACTCCATCAGCCTCAGCACACTTTCTGTCCTCCTCTGTATCTTCCAAAACAGTACTGTAAACTTTCCACCCTGCTCCTCTTAGGGTCTGGGCCACCTGTCGGCTGACGGGGGAACTGCAGTCCTCAGATGTGGCATACTGGCCACTCACCAGGAGAACTGAGCTGGACTCTGCAGTTTCACCTGAGCATCCAGCCGCCCCCTGGCCGTCAGCCATGACTCACACAGGTTTCAGCTACATCAGCATTATAGGAACACCTGGAACAGACAGGTGTGTGTCAGGTATGCAGTAACAACACCTGGAACAGACAGTTGTGTGTCAGGTATGTGGTAACAACACCTGGAACAGACAGGTGTGTGTCATGTATGTGGTAACAACATCTGGAACAGACAGGTGTGTGTCAGGTATGTGGTAACAACACCTGGAACAGACAGGTGTGTGTCAGGTATGTGGTAACAACACCTGGAACAGACAGGTGTGTGTCAGGTATGTGGTAACAACACCTGGGACAGCCTAACAGGTGTGTGAAACAATATCTTGTAGCTTAAGTATCAATATGATGTACTAGTAATTTCTAACTGCATATTATTAAATGGATTTACAGTATACACGAGATACAGTATATGTAAATTAGGATTTGGTCATAGTTTCCATAGTGATGGGGTAAATTACCTGATTTTTTAGTATTTATCATTTATAATCAGGTGGAGATAATTTCTGTTTCAGTATCGTTTAATCTCAGAACAAAAATAACGTTAGTTACGTTACCCGAGCGTGTGAGATGGTCTCATCATATTTAGTAAGTTTTTTTTTGGGGGGGGGGCAGGCGCCAAAACTGTTAGTATGTATAGCAGTAGTTCTTTTCAATCTTTTGGTTTCGTCGCTTCCAGTGATTCGTAGAAAAATAGAGCTTTGTAGTTGAATTTGCTAGATTGTTTTTAATTTGTTCGTCCTAATTTTACGGCAAATCTAGATAGCAAACAAAGAAAAGTTACGACCGTAAAGTACCGTTAGAACTCAGCAGTTTTGTGTTCTGATCTCTCTTCTCGACACGATATTGCCGACAAATCACACATATCTGGTGGATCCTGAAACACTGAACAGTCGACAGACGGGATCTGTACTTACTTTCTTCATGGATGTCCCCAGAAAACTTCCTTCAACTTTTGGAACCGACTTTCCGGTACTTTTTACTTCCTCTTCGCCATCTTGGAACTGGGAACAGTTTATTCGACAGTGGGGGTGCTTTCAAGTGAAAAGGCAAAGAAATAGCAACTTTGCAAAATAAACTAAAATTTACAAATGCATATAGTATATTGTAGTAACTTATAGCATTTGTGATATAATGACCAGATTAATTTGCTTTTATGAAACGCAATCTTCCTTCGACCTCTTCGAGGTGAAGAAAATGGACTGTTCCATGAAGGTGCCACCTGAGGGCAAGTTTTTGGCGGCGCCTCTGGGGCGGTGCCTCTGGAGCAGTGTTAGACTCAAGTAGAAATTGTTCTAAAATCTCCATCTCTCTAATCCACAGTGAACGGATTTGTGCCAAAGTCACGTGCCTTAGCTTTGCTACTCTGTACAGTCAGATTGTTTTGCCGTATAATTTTTGTAAAGAAAAGTTGTATATATTTTGGAGTGAAGCTGATTGATGCTCAATCTCATCATTTCAGTGAGTTACGAGATATTTTCCTAGTTCTTTACAAAACAAAGGGACTTTCTTGCGTATTGTTCAGCATTTGCATCATTAACATGTCATCACCTAACAAGTGATTTTTGGGGGAGTAAATTTGCCCAATAAATCATATTAAAAGTTGTCTTTTGCTACTTTTGACCCTATGTTCCAGATGTTTTGCTATGAATGTTGGAGTGTGTATGTGTGTGCAAGTTCATGTGTATGTAATATAACGCTGTGCATGTTAATGTGTGCATGTGTATGTGTCACAAGTGCATGTGTGTGTATATGTGTGAGCGTGTGTATGTGTGTGTCATAATTGCATGTATGCATTCATGTGTGTATGTGTATGCATATGCATTAATGTGTATGTGTATGCATACATGTATGTGCCTTAAAGGCATTTTAACGCTGATGCAAAGCAATTTAAAAGGCTTTCAGGTCCAGTCCTGTTGCCGCCGACCCAACTCCCACAACAGAAGAAGGCTGCCGATCCCAGCCCGGGACGTCAAGCCGCGGTGCTGCAATGTTCATGCTCCCTCTCCACAAGAACAGCCACACAGAACACGTACAAACCGCGCATAGCGTCTCGCCTCCTTCTGTAGCTAGTCACAACCAGTTGGAAAGCGGCTCTCCGTGACGTAAGACTAGTCTCAAGATACTTTTCCTTTCACAATACGTCTTGAGACATGTAGACAGCTGCTCGGTAACCCGGCCCGGGTCTTTTGTGTCCCGTCGTTCTTACCGACGCACGTCCGCCAGGTACCCGGCGCGTCAGGTGTCCCCGTCTTTTGTCTCACCTGCGAGATGATGCAAGACTTGTCCGTACATAAAACGGCTGACTGGGGTCACTTGTGTTCCCCATGACACGTTACTATTAGCCTCTAGCAGGCTTCGGGAGGCGGCTGGAAAGAGTAAAAATTGGTCAAATAGAGAGATAACATGCCGAGGGAGTTGGTCCGCTAGACAGTACGTTTGCCGCACCCGGGTGCGACAATTTCTACTCCGGGCGACCGATTTCTACTCTTTCCAGCCGTCTCCCGAAGCCTGGTAGAGGCTAACGTTACCATGGGAACGACCTTCTTGTGTTTGTGAACACGAGTGTGTTTGTAACCCTTGATAGTGCTGACAAAACCGGAGGTGTGAAGTTCATGTTAATAATGCCAAGAAAAGTTAGCAAAGTAGGATTTGTGTGTATCATAGTCATAGATTCCAATCTGAATGGAATGAGTGATTCTAATACAAACTTATTATTATAAACATGTCTTGCAGATTAAGATATTCATAGCACTGTGCTGAACAAATCATACAAAGTTTAGACTTTTCAAACACTTTTTATTAAGACTATTTCAGTCAATATGAAGATATTTGATAGGCATATATTGTTTCACTACTCCAGTCTATATTTTACAGATCCTCCTTTATTATTATTTTGTGCCCTGGTATCAAAATGTTTATCATATAAGCAGATAAGTTAAATGTTACAATATTGACATGGGAATCGGATAAGGTCTCCAAGCAGATGTTAGGGGAATGCTGGTAATGTTTCCTGAGTGATAACAGGGCATCTCTGACAGTCCTTTACCCTCCATAAGCAGATTTAAGGTTGAGTAAAAGGCCGAAGCTTTCACATGTATCATCTTAAAACACACAGAAATACAGATACGACAAATGTTATAAGAATATGCAGAACACATTTACATGACATTTTGTGTATACACTCTTGCACAATTTCATCAGGTTGGTATATCAATGAATACTAGGTTCTTCCTTAATCCCAAATCATTCTGATATATGCAGATCCATAAAAGATTACAAAAATAATCTCGATACATTAGTACATACCTGTACTATATACACTCTTGCATAGGTTCATCTGGTTGCTATATTAATGCATATTGGATTCTTTGTTACACAATTTGTTTTGTTACAAAGAAAGCAAAATCCACACACTGACAGATACAGCTACATGTGTAAGGTAGTACAGTTTTTGTATCTTCACATTGGAATGGTCAAAGTACTGCACAAAAATTGTCCTTACAAACTATTACTAATGTTTCGTAGATCATCTCAATGTCCTCATCCTGAGTGAATTTGGCACTAAAACTGGTTTGTTTGATTCATGTCATTCTGAGCTGGTCTTGTCTATCTGAAACAATATACGATACACAATACAATGTACAATATAATTAACAATATACAATACAAAATATATAATATACAATATACAATATAAATGTGATGTTTCAGAAATATATTATACACATACATTAATACAACAAAAGTTTCATGTTGTAATTTTTTGGCAGCTGAATAGAAATAAAATCAGTTCCATATCAATGTCCCTAACATGTTGGAATGACTACTTAATCATAACTATATACAGCATACTGACCTCAGCTGAGGAAATGTACAGAACAGGTCGCCATGTTGGGAACTCAGCCGAGCAGCTTCAGGCAGCTGGCTGTGGTGTCCGCTCCCTCAGGAACTAGCCTCCTATTGTAGCTGTATATCGGAAATGGAAAACAGAGTTGCTTAGTAATTTATATCAAATCACATCATACTGTCATTATAGCTTTAACAACAGAATGTGGGAGTAAAACAAGAGATTCATACACAATTTGGTGCCATGTAGCTTAATGCACACTTACATGTGAAATTGGTAGATATAAAAAAGAAGTATGTGTACCAGAACAGGTGTGTATCTATTAGGTACATGTAAAATTTTATTATCAGTAAAAAAGGTGCAGTCATGAAAGTACTGGGAGCAAAGTTCGTCAATTCACCCATCTAATCATTTGCAATTCTATCAAAATTTAATACTTTCTGTCCCTTTTAGATACCCTGGAGTAGAGCATGCCTATAGGATAACCAACATAACTCACCACAGCCTCTCCAGTGTTGGGTGTTCCTCAGCAGCCTGCACCACAGCCTGGAACCCTGCAGGCTCCATGGAGATGTTATACAGGTACAGCTGCTCCAGGGCAGGGAGTCTGGGTAGAGCCTCGGCCAGATCCATGGCAGCGGTGTCAGACAGGTGTGCAGGTTTGCCACAGGGACCAGACATGTTAAGCCCGGTCAGTGCCGGCAGTGTGCTGATGAGCTGTGCGACCCTCCCCAGTCCGGCTCCTGTTACTCCCCTATTCCCCCCGATGTCCAGCTTCTGTAGTGTGGTGTTATAGTGAGGGGCTGTGGTCAGACTCTTGTCACTAGGTGGGTTTTGTTCCATGTCCAAACTGCTGGGCTGGCAGAGGGTTTGCACCAGTGAGACAATCCCTGAGTCTCCTATGTCATTCCACTCCACATCCAACACCTGTAATTGCACCAGGTGAGGCAGAGCTTTGATCAGGGATGATATTCCCCTGTCACTGATACCTGTGTCCCTGAGAACCAACACCTTCATGGCTGTGAGGTGGTGGAGGATAGCAGCCAGGCATTCCAGCCCAGGGTCTTCTATGGCATTTTCACTTACGTCCAGTTTGATCAGTCTGGTTAACTTACACAGTGCAGGGACCAGTGTGCGCATGCCTGTGGGGCTGATACCGGTCTCACTCAGGCCCAACACCTGCATGGCAGTGAAGGTGTGGAGGATGGTGGTGAGAGATTCCAGCCCAGTGTCACCGATCTTATTACCACTTATATCCAGTTCTCTCAGTCCCACTAGGTGGTGCATGTAGGGAGCCAGGGATGACATGCCCACAGCTGTCATGCCAATTTCCCTAAGACGGAGTACAGCCAGGTGTGGAACACTGGACAGCCCAACCTGTAGGACTTCCATCCCAGTATCACGAAGAGCACGGTTCCAAGACAGATCCAGCTCCTCTAACAGAGACATGTGTCTGAACCCCTGCACAAGTGGCTGGAGTGATGATGGTGTTAGTTTTGTGTCTGACAGATCCAGTGCCCTCAGACAGGGAACATTCTTCAGAACTGAAACCAGCCTGGCTGTCAGATAAGGTGAGTCAAACTGTCCTGATAGTTCCAAGTCCAATCTAAGTCCAGGGAGTGTAGTTGTAAAACACTGCTGTAGGTACTGAACTGTGTCTCTGCTGTCAGTGCCTTTACGGATTGTAAGTATGAGCCTGTCTGGCAGGTTTGCTGAATGAAGATTTTGTATGTAATACTTAAGACCTGTGGCTTCTCTACTGTTAATGGAGCTGTGCAGCATGACAATTGGCAGGGCTTGACTGATACCCTGAAGCACTTCTGGTTCTTGTCTCTCACTAAGGATGTTCAGGCACAAGCGTACAAACCTTTCATAGGTTTGGCAGGACTTTTGCACATCTGGATCCATTTGCATCTTTGATTTAATTTCAAACTGTTCTGGTTGCAAGTGTGTGAACTCTCTGCTGCTGAGCTTGCTTAGTTCCTCCATCACAGCTTGTGTTGCCTGTGAGTCACAGCCACATGTGAACTGAATCAGGTTACTGAGTTCAAGTGCCTTCCTTACGGAGGTGAGCTGCAGCAGCTCAACAATGTCTTGCTTCACTTGAGCATGAGCTACATATCGTCCAGCCAGGAACTCTTGCATGGTCTTGTGTGAAAAGTTCAGCTGTTTCCTAGGATGCAATTTTGAGGAAGAAACCTCCAAGGAGACCACACCCAGCTTTAACAGTAACTCCCAATTAACCTTTTCTCTCTTTACTTCTGTAAGGTCAAGCAGGGTCTCATTCCTCAGCAGTGCCTCTAGTGCAAGCTTGCCGAGCTGTAGTAATGACTCAGCAACCTCTGTAGGCAGCCCTTCTGTTGGCATGTCCACTCCTTCCCGCTCACAGCACTTTCTGACCAGACATGTCAGCAGGTTGTCGTACAGCCCCATCATTGTTCCAGTAGACACCATCTCTTGGTCCTCCTCCCACAGCAGACACACAAACATCAGGAACATTGGGGTTTGGATTAAAGTGTTCAAAAGTTGATTACTGTTTACATGTACAGTTAGTGTCTTTGTCAGTTCTTGCTTCCTAACAACAGTGAAATACTGCTGCATGTATTTCTCCACATGTCTACGGGAGAAGCCCATGATGTGTACATGACAGTCTGGCCGGGTGTACTGCTGCACTCCTGCTGAGGGTCGGGAGGTGATCACAATCGTGCTGTTGGGGTACATCTTGCCAGACAGCAGTTTGGGAATGGCCTGCCCGGCTGCCCTGGCCTCAGGCCGCAGCTCATCATACCCATCTAGGAGGAAGAGCACACAGGACTCGTTTCTCTCAAGGATTGTTTTGATGAACTCTAAATTAACATCTTTTCTTTCAGGAACACACTGGTCCCACACCATCTCCTCTATGGTCTCCCCCTCTCTCACCTCCCGGAGTCGGATCAACAGGACAATGTCGTGCCGTCTGCCCAGCTCTGTTTTCTGTGAGATGGCATCTAGGGCTTCTTTGGACAGAAATGTTGTCTTCCCCCCTCCAGCTTCACCCTCAATCAGAATGCACCTTGGTGCTGTGGTCAGTTCTGTGACATCTGGCTTGAACAAGTCGTCTAATGACTTAAGCTCTTTTTTCTGTTCTTCTTCCCTTGAAAATAACCAGTGGTGTACTTTATGTCTAGGTATTTTGAGTTGCTTCTGACTTGATGGAATCAACTCTAACTGGGTGAAGATGTCACTGAGGCTAAGTGTGAAGTTGTCATTCCAGATCAGAGGCTTGAAGTGAGTCAGTTTCAACTCATAGTACTTCTTCACAGACTTCTGGAACAAGTCTGGAACAGAATGGCCACTGTTGTTAGATTTCAAAGTCCAACTTCATGCCATATGACAGGAAAATTGGGTTAAATGACAAAGGAAATGACTGAAAGTTAAAATCTGGTAAGGAGCCATGGATTGCCAAGAACCTTTCATCCTGCATCATGATAGTCCCTAATAAAGCACATAAAATAATCTCCTCTGACTGATGTTTTAATAAATTCACACAAAAAACTTACTTGAAGTCTGAAATCTCTGAAACAGAGTTTTATAAGTTTGATGTGCAATAAGAGAGTACTGGTACCCAGGCCTGATAAAAATAGTAAACTTACCTGCCTTCCATTTCCAGAGCAAACAGTTTGCTGGGACAGTCATGTAAATATAAAGCCAAACCTTAACAAAACATATTGACTTTGGAAAGTTTAACATAGATGATACTTCCTATCATTTTTGATGGCAAATTTTGATTCCCACCTGTCTGATTGACACCTGTCACTGAAGAAGCCTCTGTTCCTTCAGCTCCAGCTACATGTAGATGTGAGCGTGGAAGAGCATGTGGAACTGGACGTTCTAAAATAGAATACAAAAAGATTACCCAGTAGTACCATTTTCTCTGAACACTCAAGCAAGAGTTTCAATCATGTTTTAAATAATGTTTTATTAGTGTTTCTCTAAACTTCAAACTTCTGAGACCAGAACATTTTTGAATCTGTCAAAGGTGGAAGTTTAGATCCCTCTTTCACAATGATTTCATTCTTCAGGCTGTAGTATATTCCTCAATCAGGCCACACCAATTTAATTTGTTGGTTCTCGGATTCGCCTCTTCGTTTTTTTCTGATTTGCAAAAAAAAAAAAATTGATTCTGGTCCTGAATCAACTGAAAAATGCTCATGTTTTGCCCCCCAACAGTTGAGGAAAGTCCTTTTCTTCCTACTTGTTACAGTTTTCCCATCTATCATTGCAGTGGTTTGATTAAAAGTTCAAAATTCAATGTTTAGATTTTAACCCAGCCTTTTGTGTTGACTTCATGGCTTATTTTGTAGCATTTAAGCCTATAATAGGATGCCTAGACCTGTTTTTATTTTTATTTTTTTTCGCCCTGTCGCTTCATATTTTTTCTGAAAAAATCCGAGAACCAACAAATTAAATTGGTGTGGCCTCAGTGACTCTTTTTAAAGGTAGAAACACATACCTCCAAATTTTTGATGTCCACTGTACATCTTGATCACGGAGTGACCTACTGTAGTCATGCGAGAACACGATTAATACAGCCAAAAAGCTCAAATACAACCAAAAATAAAAATCTTTATCTAAATAAAATCTTAATCTAATTAACTCTATAGTAATATGTATGTTCTTCTCATAAGATATGACAAATGTTGTGATTATAGAGAGACTGACATGCTGACAACAGCCGACCAAGTTCTCTCTCAGGTGATTATTCATTCTCTGGCTTCTCTTTACCCTTTTCTTGTTGTTGAGATGTCATTTTATGTATTAATATTAACAGAGTAGTGATTTCATAGCTAGTTAGATTAAGAGAACCTATGACGTCACCGCAGCCTCCTGGTGGAATAGGGAGTCATCAAACGTCAACATGGATGGATTTGGGTCAAATATCACCCCTATGTGTGCGGGATTGGTAGAAACCAAATGATCACCTTTTGCAAAAAAGGATTTTGGGTTGAAAGGCACCAAAACTGAAATTACTATACATGTATATGTCCTTTAAGTATGTACATTATATGTTGTATAGACAAGATCTGCCATTGTCAAAACATTTAATTTCTTCATCTAAAACATCTTACACATAAGTTACATAACTCAAATTAAGTCATGCTTTATTCAATCACAAAAACAGTGACACTGAGTTGAGGCTCTTACCTTCTCCCAGTTTCTCTTGGACTTGCACATAGTCTTCATACTTCACCTGAAGCCTCACAATCAGCTGTGCACCTTCAAACTGGTCCTGAATGTTGCTTGGGATGAGGATACTGGAGAGTCTGTGTGACAGGGTTCCCTCCCCTACCTTGTCATGGTTGTGGTAGAACTCATACAAATCTGTTTGGCATAGGAACTTCAGGAAGAGGATGACGGATCCACTTGCAAGTTTTATCAAGAAAGCCTTATATTCCATCAATGCTTGTTTTGCTTTACTGAGGCGCTCTGGGTCCATTAACATGTCAACAGTTATCAGTTCTTTCTCCATTTCCTGGACACGACTTAAAACCCACTCTGGGACCTCTGTTGACGGGCTTAGGTGGACATGCACAGGAAGCAACGGATCTGCAAGGAAACAAATTAAATCAAAGGAGGTTATACTAGTGCCTTTGCCAAGAGGTTTTGTTCTATATCATGTTGTAGATGATATCAAAGAAGCGTATATAAGGCCACACCATCTTAATTTGTCAGATTTTAATATAAAGAGAAAATATAAAGCAACAGGGTGAAATAAAAAAACAAAACAAAACAGGCCAAGGCACCCCACGAAGGGCCGGAAATGTTATGATACGACACCAACCTGGTTTATAATTAAAACAATAGATTTTGAACTTTTAATGAAATGAAGTTGCCTTGTTACATTGAAAAACTTTATATTAATTAACAACTAGGAAGAAAAGGACTTTCTTCAACTAACCCTAACCCTAAAAGCTCAAAATTCTATGTTGGTCAAAACATCCTAAGCCTAACAAAAAGGAACAAGACTGTAAGTTAATTGCCTTTGATTTAACTTCAGCTTTCACCAAGCAATTTTATGGCAGATTGACTAGTACTGAGACATAATAGTTTTCGAGGTGCAATCCCTGGCTTTGTGACTGGCTTACAAAATGCAATTGGTTCAGTGTTTCGGTTTTTGGTTCGGACATTGAAGCTCTTTCAGAAGCCCTTCTTGGATCAGCTCTTGACAAAAATACATAGTTCTTATAACTAAATAAATTATGTAGATTAGGTACTGCAGATGCACTCAAGTTCATATGGTTGTGCATCCTGGATCCTCCCGTGATGAGGTAGTTTGCGCATATTATTCACAAGTTACCATTCTGGGATTTGGTTTAAAATTCATAAACTGCAATTAGCACATTGTTGAGTTGCACATGCATGTTCTGAATGCAAGGTCTTGTCGTTTGGAGGTTATTTTTTGAATTTGTGCATTCATATGGCCTGAGACCCTGCGCATGCTAACATCATTTTCTTTGCAATTGTACAGCAGCGGATTACAATTCTAACATACCGACGCCACAGTATACAGTCTACACCCTTACAGTAACCCTTGTAGCCTCTACAAGGCTTCGGGAGGCGGCTCAGGAAAGAGTAGAAATTGGCCAAACAGAGAGATAACATGCCAGGGGAGTTGGTCCAATTGGGTATGGCAAACAGTTCTCTCTACCGGACCAACTCCCCTGACATGTAGTAAGTATCTCAGAGTCTCTATTTGGCCGTTTTCTTCTCTTTCCAGCCACCTTGATCCCAAAGCCTAAAGCCTAAGATATAGACTATAATGTGGTTAGTCATAACTTTTCAGGCCATCCTCAATGGATGACCTGAGATTTTCTGACAAAAACTAGCCTACTCTCATCTGCCGAATAAACATACCCCCCGGAATAAACGTACCCTCCGGACAAATCTTCAAAATCAAATAAACATACCCCCGGAGTAAACGTACCCCCCGAAAAATTACCAGAATTGACGGGTAACCTGTGTCTCTTGTACTAAAATGCACCCTTACTGATATATGCACAAATCTTTAACTGTTATTTGCAATTAGGAATTTAAATAGACAAAAAAAAAGAGCATTTAATATTTTGTATTTTGATAAGCACCACCCATGACAATAGAACATTCAGACGAATTTATGCACGCTGTGATTGCAAAAACCGGCCCGAAAATGACAAGTTTCTCGCTACAATATGCGTTTATAAATGTCTTCACAAGTTGAAAAAAATTACTGGTTTTCAAAAAATTAATAAACGTACTGTGCAAAATAAGAACGTACTGGGTGGATGTTTGGGCCCAAAAAAATAAACGTACCCGTATGGTTATTTGGCAGATGAGAGTAAGACTGCTACCTTCTCTGTGGTAATACTTCTGACTTAATGAGACTTTTAGAAAACAACAATTTCCTGACCTGCACCTCCAAATGCCTGAAGGAATTGCTGATGAGACTCTTCCCAGTATCTGGACTCCAGGAGTTTCTGCTTGAGTTCTGCAGCCCGACGGAACTCGGCTTCTGACATCCGCAGAACATCCGCAATCTGATCTGCCCAACGTCCGACATCTACAGAATCGTCACCCGTGATTCTGAGAATGGAGTGGTGGAATTCTGGTATAACCTCATGGACCAAGTCCGCTAGTCCTGATTGGTCAGATATGAGGACTGGCATGCCGGCTGCCATGGCCTCCAGACCGACCAGACCGAAGGGTTCTGCACGGGAGGGCATGAGAACCAGGTGGGCCTGCTTCATGTGTTGGCAGACGTCTTCCTGGGTGCCGTGTGGGAGAAGGGTGGGGATCAGTTTTCCTGAGTTGATGCTGGTTTGGAGAATGCCCATACTGGCCTGATACTCCTCTTTACTGACACCACAAATCCGCAACTTGATTCTGTCCTGACTCCTTTCTACCACTTTTGACAAGACCTTGGCTGCCAAGTCAAAACCTTTCACCCTCTGATCTGTTGTCACCCTACCAATTAATAGGACAACTTTCTCACTTGTTGCTCTGTATTCAACTGTAGTGTTCAGGAACAAGTCTGAAGGTTTGGGCAGGAAGAGGTAGTGAGCTGGCCTCTTGTCTTTAGGAATTGCACAAAATGAGTTTACAAAGTGGTCTTGTGTTCTGTGTCCCACAGAGAACACAGTATCTGCCTTCTCTGCATCTTGTCTGATGGAGTCTTCCTTCTCCCCAATACCCATGGCCTTCTCATCTTCCTTGTACTTCTCTGTGTCTTCAGGTATAGTCTGGGTGACAAGACTGAGGCTTGCTTGGGGGAAACGCTGTTCCTTGATAGTTGCTGCTGCTCTGCTGGTGACCCCAGCATGACCCACAATCCACCCTACATCCTGTGGCAGTCTGTCATTGGGGTAGCGATCCACATGGTCAAAGGTCAGCCAATCCAGACAGGGTTCCCTTGTGTCTCCCTGACTGCGGGTTGGGAGGATGAGCTCCACTCCATCAGCCTCAGCACACTTTCTGTCCTCCTCTTTATCTTCCAAAACAGTACTGTAAACTTTCCACCCTGCTCCTGTTAGGGTCTGGGCCACCTGTCGGCTGATGGGGGAACTGCAGTCCTCAGATGTGGCATACTGGCCACTCACCAGGAGAACTGAGCTGGACTCTGCAGTTTCACCTGAGCACCCAGCCGCCCCCTGGCCCTCAGCCATGACTCACACAGGTGTCAGCTACATCATTATAGGAACACCTGGAACAGACAGGTGTGTGTCAGGTATGTGGTAACAACACCTGGAACAGGCAGGTGTGTGTCAGGTATGTGGTAGCAACACCTGGAACAGAAAGGTGTGTGTCAGGTTAGGTATGTGATAACAACACCTGGAACAGACAGGTGTGTGTCAGGTATGTGGTAACAACACCTGGAACAGACAGGTGTATGTCAGGTATGTGGTAACAACACCTGGAACAGACAGGTGTGTGTCAGGTATGTGGTAACAACACCTGGAACAGACACGTGTGTGTCACTATTCAGAAATTATAAACCTTATTAAAGTTACATTTCTACATACGATTTTAACAATAAGGGTTAATACGAGTGAAAGTTCTATATACCTTTTACAATCGGATGGGGATAGTTGTGGGTTTCAGTACTACATGTAGTATATGTATAACGTTACCTGATTGTGGGGGAGATGGCCGATGGTCTCGGCATATTTTTGTGGGGAGGGGGGCTCAGAATATGTATGTAACGTTCCTAAAATAATAGTTCTTTTGAATCTTTTGGTTTCATCGCTTTGGACGATTTGTACAAAAATGCTTTGCAGTGGAACTTAGGTACGGTTTAAACTGTTTGTTGGGTTAATATCTGATTGCGCATCCTAATTTTTTTAGCGTGAGTCAAAATCTATGAGCAAAGTACTGAGTATAAATTACCGAAACTTAGAATCCGATACCCCAGGTCAGTTTTGTTTTCCTTAATTTCTTTTTTCATCGTATAATTGCCGAAAAATTACACATATCTGGTGGATCCTGAAACACTGAACAGTCGACAGACAGGATCTGTACTTACTTTCTTCATGGATGTCCCCAGAAAACTTCCTTCAACTTTTGGAACCGACTTTCGATAACTTTTTACTTCCTCTTCGCCATCTTGGAACTGGGAACAGTTTATTCGACAGTGGGGGTGCTTTCAAGTGAAAGGCGAAAAAATAGCAACGTTCCAAAATTAACAAAACTTTACAAATGCATATAGTATATTGGCGTACCTTATATCATTTGTGATATAATAACCTGATTTATTAGCTATCAATGAAACGCAATCTTCACTCGACCCCTGTGAAGTTAAGACAATGGACTGTTCCGTGAAGGTGCCACCTGAGGGCAAGTTTTTGGCGGCGCCTCTGGAGCGGTGCCTCTGGAGCAGTGTTAGACTCAAGTAGAAATTGTTCTAAAATCTCTATCTCTCTAATCCACAGTGAACGGATTTGTGCCAAAGTTCACGTGCCTTTGCTGCTCTGTACAGTCAGAATGTTTTGCTGTAAATTTTTGAAAAGAAAAGTTGTATTTTTGGAGTGAAGCTGATTGATGCTCAATGATCTCATCATTTCAGTGAGTTTAAGATTCCTAGTTCTTTACAAAACAAAGGGACTTTCTTGCGTATTGTTCAGCATTCGCATCATTAACATGTCATCACCTAACAAGTGACTTTTCGGGGAGTAAATTTGGCTAATAAATCAAATTCAAAGTTGTCTTTTGCTACTTTTGACCCTGTGTTCCAGATGTTTTGCTATGAATGTTGGAGTATGTATGTGTGTGCAAGTTCATTGGTATGTAATCAGGTAATATAACACTGTGTGTATGTGCATGTGTGCGTGTCACGTGTGTGTGTGTGTCACAATTGCATGTGTGCATTCATGTGTGTATGTATATGTGTGTGTGCGTGCGTATGTGTATGTTCATGTCTGTGAAACAATTGCATGTGTGCATTCATGTGTATGTGTGTATGCATATGCATTAATGTGTATGCATATGTGCATAAAGGCATTTTATGGATTACATGTATGCAAACCAAACAAAAAATTTTAGGTCCAGTCCTGTTGCCGCAGACCAGACTCCCACTACAGAAGAGGGCTGCCGATCCCATCCCGGGACGTCAAGCCGTGGTGCTGCAATGTTCATGCTCCCTCTCCACAAGAACAGCTACACAGAACACGTACAGACCGCGCATAGCGTCTCGCCTCCTTCTGTAGCTAGTCACAACCAGTTGAAAAGCGGCTCTCCGTGACGTAAGACTGGCTCAAGATACTTTTCCTTTCACAATACGTCTTGAGACATGTAGACAGCTGCTCGGTAACCCGGCCCGGGTCCTTTGTGTCCCGTCGTTCTTACCGACGCACGTCCGCCAGGTACCCGGCGCGTCAGGTGTCCCCGTCTTTTGTCTCACCTGCGGCCGCACGGTGTAACCTGGCACCAACATGGCGGCCGCAAGACTTGTCCGGACATCAAACGGCTGACTGGGGTCACTTGTGTTCCCCATGACACGTTACTATTAGCCTCTAGCAGGCTTCGGGAGGCGGCTGGAAAGAGTAGAAAGCGGCCAAATACTGTAGAGAAATAACATGTCAAAGGAGTTGGTCCGCTACTGCTAGAGAGTACGTTTTGCCAAGGAGTTAAAATCTTGTATTTAACCTCCTTGGTTTTGTCGCACCCGAGTGCGACAATTTCTACTCCGTGTGACCGATATCTACTCTTTACAGCCGTCTCCCGAAGCCTGGTAGAGGCTAACGTTACCATGGGAACTACCTTGTTGTGTTTGTGAACACAGTGTGTGTTTGTAACCCTTGATAGTGCTGACAAAACCGGAGGTGTGAAGTTCATGTTAATAAGTAATGCCAAGAAAAGTTAGCAAAGTAGGATTTGTGTGTATCATTGCCATAGATTCCAATCTCAATGGAATGAGTGATTCTAATACAAACTTGTTATGATAAACATATCTTGCAGATTAAGATATTCATAGCGCTGTGATGGACAAATCATACAAAGTTTAGACTTTTCAAACACTTTTTATTAAGACTATTTCAGTCAATATGAAGATATTTGATAGGCATATATTGTTTCACCACTCCAGTCTATATTTTGCAGATCCCTCTTTATCATTATTTTGTGCCCTGATATCAAAATGTTTATCATATAAGCAGATAAGTTAAATGTCACAATATTATAATGAAACTTCATCTGTGTTGGTAGTTACATGTTTAAAGTTAAAACCTTTGATCCAACACAAGAATTTCTCTCACCTAGAGCTTTCGACCAGTCACTCTGGTCTTCCTCAGTAGACTGACCCAGTGAAGCTTGTCACGTGGCTTCTTTGAAGTGTGACGTCAACACTGGGTCAAAGGTATCTGGTAGACGATGTCGGCCCCTGTCGCGGTGACAAGCTTCACTGGGTCAGTCTACTGAGGAAGACCAGAGTGACTGGTTGAAAGCTCTAGGTGAGAGAAATTCTTGTGTTGGATCAAAAGTTTTAACTTTAAACCTAAATGTCACAATATTGTCATGCATGGGAATCGAATATGGTCTCCAAGCAGATGTTGGGGGAATGATGGTAATGTTTTCTGAGTGACAATGGAGCATCTCTGACAGTCCTTTACCCTCCATAAGCAGATTTAAGGTTGAGTAAAAGGCCGAAGCTTTCAGGTGTATCATCTTAAAACACACAGAAATACAGATACAACAAATCTTATAAGAATATCCAGAACACATTTACATGACATTGTATGTATACACATGCATAGTTTTATCATGTTTTATATACACTCTTGCACAGTTTCATCAGGTTGGTATATCAATGAATAATAGGCTCTTTCTTAATCCCAAATCATTCCAATATATACAGATACATAAAAGATTACAAAAATAATCTTGATACATTAGTACATACTATATACACTCTTGCATAGGTTCATCTGGTTGCTATATTAATAGATATTGGGTTCTTTGTCACACAATTTGTTTCGTTACAGAGAAAATAAATCCACACACTGACAGATACAGCTACATCAGATATAGTACAGTATTTGTATATTCACACTTGGTTATTAATCTGGAATGGTCAAAGTACTGCATAAAAATTATGCCTACAAACTATATTTGTATAATTACAATGTTAGATACATTGTAGATCTTCTCAATGCCTGTATCCTGGGTGAATTTGGCACTAAAACTGGTTTGTTTAGTTCACGTCATTCTGAGCTGGTGTTGTCTGTCTGAAACAATATACAATATATTATACAATACAGTACAATACAATATAATATGCAATACAATACAAAATATATAATATTCTATACAATATAAATGTGCTGTTTCAGAAATATATTATTCACAATACATTAATACAACAAACGTTTTATATTGTAATTTTTTCGCAGCTGAAGAGAAACAAAATCAGTTCTATATCAATGTCCCTAGCGAGTTGGAATGACTAGTTAATCATAACTATATATAATTTTTAATACAGTATACTGACCTGAGCTGAGGAAATGTACAGAACAGGTCGCCATGTTGGGGACTCAGTAGTAGCCCAGCTTCAGACAGCTGGCTGTGGTGTCCGCTCCCTCAGGAACTCCACGCCAAGAGTACCTGTGTGTGGAAAATGGAAAACAGAGTTGCTTAGTTACAACAGTTAACATAATATTGTTATAATTATAACTTCAACTACAGAATATGGGGGGAAGACTACTGATAAGTAGATTCATAAATTATTTGGTGCTATATAGGGTAATGCACACTTACATGTAAAATGGGTACATACATTATAGAAGTATGTGTACCAGAACACTGTGTATCTATTAGTATTAGCCAAATAAAGTAAATTTATCAAAATGACAGTGCAAATAGTGCAGCCTTGAAAAGTAGAATTCACACATATCATCAATTCCCACATATCAATTTAGAGTTCTATCAAATACTCAACATCTCATTAGTGACTCCCTTTTATGATACCCTGGACTAGAGTATAGCATGCCTATAGGATAACCAATATAACTCACACCAGCCTCTCCAGTGTTGGGTGTTCCTCAGCAGCCTGCACCACAGCCTGGAACCCTGCAGGCTCCATGGAGATGTGATACAGGTCCAGCTGCTCCAGGGCAGGGAGTCTGGGTAGAGCCTCGGCCAGATCCATGGCAGCAGTGTCAGACAGGTGTGCAGGTTTGTCCCAGTGACCAGACATGTTCAGCCTGGTCAGTGCCGGCAGTGTGCTGATGACCTGTGCGACCCTCCCCAGTCCGGCTCCTGTTACTCCCCTATTCCCCCCGATGTCCGGCTCCTGTAGTGTGGTGTTATAGTGAGGGGCTGTGGTCAGACTCTTGTCACCAGGTGGGTTTTGTTCCATGTCCAAACTGCTGGGCTGGCAGAGTGTTTGCACCAGTGAGACAATCCCTGAGTCTCCTATGTTATTGATGCTCACATACAACACCTGTAATTGCACCAGGTGAGGCAGAGCTTTGATCAGGGATGATATTCCCCTGTCACTGATACCTGTCACACTGAGAACCAACACCTTCATGGCTGTGAGGTGGTGGAGGATAGCAGCCAGGCATTCCAGCCCTGGGTCTCCTATGTCATTATCACTAATGTCCAGTTTGATCAGTCTGGTTAACTTACACAGTGCAGGGACCAGTGTGCGCATGCCTGTGGGGCTGATACCGGTGCTACTCAGGCCCAACACCTGCATGGCAGTGAAGGTGTGGAGGACGGTGGTGAGAGATTCCAGCCCAGTGTCACCGATCTTATTACCACTTATATCCAGTTCTCTCAGTCCCACTAGGTGGCGCATGTAGGGAGCCAGGGATGACATGCCCACAGCTGTCATGCTGACCCAGCTAAGACAGAGTACAGCCAGGTGTGGAACACTGGACAGCCCAATCTGTAGGACTTCCATCCCAGCATCACCAAGGTCATAGTTCCCAGTAAGATCCAGCTCCTCTAACAGAGACATGTGTCTGAACCCCTGCACAAGTGGCTGGAGTGATGATGGTGTTAGTTCTGTCTCTGACAGACCCAGCGCCCTCAGACAGGGAACATTCTTCAGAACTGAAACCAGCCTGGCTGTCAGATCAGGTAAGTTAAATGTTAAATACTTCAGTCTTAGGTCTAACTGCAGGCCAGGAACATAAGAGGTGAAAATCTGTTCCAGGTACTGAAGAGCTTCTGATCTATCAACAAAAGATGTACCAAGTCCTACTATCATTCTATCAGGGAGATGTGCTGACTGGATGTTTTCCAAGTAATACTGCAGAGCAGCAGGTTGTTTACTGTTGAGGTCCAAGATGATAACTGGCAGGGCTCTGCTGACAGCCTGCAGAACACCCAGCTCTTTTCTTTCATTCAGGATATTCAGGCACAGCAACATGAACCTCTTGTAAGTTTCAACTGATTTCTTTACATCTGGCTTTACAGGTAGGTGGGTCTTCTCCTGAAAGTCATCTGGTCGTAAATGTGAAAACTCCTTGCCAATGAGCTTGCTTAGTTCCCCCATCACAGCTTGTGCTGCCTGTGAGTCACAGCCACATGTGAACGGAAGCAGGTTACTGAGTTCAAGTGCCTTGCTTATGGAGGTGAGCTGCAGCAGCTCAACAATGTCTTGGTTCACTTGAGCATGAGCTACATATCGTCCGGCCAGGAACTCTTGCATGGTCTTGTGTGAAAAGTTCGGCTGTTTCCTAGGATGCAGTTTAGAGGAAGAAACCTCCAAGGAGACCACACCCAACTTTAACAGTAACTCCCAATTAACCTTTTGTCTTGCTACTTCTGTAAGGTCAAGCAGGGTCTCATTCCTCAGCAGTGCCTCTAGTGCAAGCTTGCCGAGCTGCAGTAATGACTCAGCAACCTCTGTAGGCAGCCCTTCTGTTGGCATGTCCACTCCTTCCCGCTCACAGCACTTTCTGACCAGACATGTCAGCAGGTTGTCGTACAGCCCCATCATTGTTCCAGTAGACACCATCTCTTGGTCCTCCTCCCACAGCAGACACACAAACATCAGGAATATTGGGGTTTGGATTAAGTAATTTAAGAGTTCATCTTTTTTCAGGCTAAGAGCAGATGTAATTTCCGCCTTCTCCAGGACCTCATCATAATCAATGACAGACTTGACAGTGAAATATTGCCTGATGAAATCCTCTCCCAGCTCAGGACTTCCTGTGATGGAGAAATATTTCCTCACGTGTTTTGCAGCATGCTCAGGTGAGAAGCCCATGATGTGTACGTGACAGTCTGGCCGGGTGTACTGCTGCACTCCTGCTGAGGGTCGGGAGGTGATCACAATCGTGCTGTTGGGGTACATCTTGCCAGACAGCAGTTTGGGAATGGCCTGCCCGGCTGCCCTGGCCTCAGGCCGCAGCTCATCATACCCATCTAGGAGGAAGAGCACACAGGACTTGTTCCTCTGTAGGATTGTTCTAATGGACTGTGCTTCAATACCGTCAGTTGTTTCATCAACACACTGGTCCCACACCATCTCCTCTATGGTCTCCCCCTCTCTCACCTCCCGGAGTCGGATCAACAGGACGATGTCGTGCCGTCTGCCCAGCTCTGTTTTCTGTGAGACGGCATCTAGGGCTTCTTTGGACAGAAACGTTGTCTTCCCCCCTCCAGCTTCACCCTCAATCAGAATGCACCTTGGTGCTGTGGACAGTCCTGTGACATCTGGCTTGAACAAGTCGTCTAATGACTTAAGCTCTTTTCTTTGTTTTCCTGTTAGTGTTTGTATCAACTCTAACTGGGTGAAGATGTCACTGAGGCTAAGTGTGAAGTTGTCATTCCAGATCAGAGGCTTGAAGTGAGTCAGTTTCAACTCATAGTACTTCTTCACAGATTTCTGGAACAAATCTGGAATAGACAGAACACTATTGTAAGATTTCAAAATCAATATTAGTGAAAATGTAACTTATGCAAGACAACAATTCATATTTACATCATATATAAGAGAAATACCTTGTCAGCTTCATCATCATCATCATCATGCCTCCGGATTACTTATCCGGTAAGGTAAACTTGATAAAGTTACTGCAATATACCCAGTCCCTTTTCAACTTTGAACTCATGGTACTTACTGCTCTCCAAGCCAACGTGTCTTCTACTATATAGCAAAAAGTAATTCTGGCTGACAGTTTGCACATTTTGTGTATACGCTTAACCAGGATTGTGATTAATGTTCAAACCTTATTCCCATATCTGATGTCTGTAAGTCACGTGCTAATGAAGTTTCATAGTGGAGCATATTAACATGAAAAAAACTATATGTTCCCATCTGGTGAGTGGTGACTTTAACTGCAGTGGGCAGTATCTATAGTTTATAGATGGCTCCTTCAAAATGAATGTGCCTAGTATGATAATCACTCTATACACTCGTTCTCATTCAAATGTGCAAAATGCTGTCACCACTCTTTACGACGAGATATGAGCCAAACCACGGACCTCATCATTGCTTTCTTTACTTTCTCACTACACTGACTATGTTTTACGAAAAATGTACCGGGACATTGGTTTATTAAGATGCCCTTTAGCCCCATGGCTAATCTTCCAGGGCTTATTAGACAAGACAATGCAATACATAAAACAGATAATATACACAAATGCACAGATTACAGATATAATTACAAGTTAAAAATTAAGAATTGAGAATTGACATCAGAATTCAGATGTCAAATTATGACTAAAACTAACAATAAAACTTTTATTTACTAATTTGCTCCTACAAAATAAACAATTACCAAGGAGGTTAAATACTTCCTTGGTTAAACCATTAAGTTCCGTAAAATTAAATTATTTTCTTAAACTGCCTCACATCAGATAAAGTCTTAAGTTCACTTGGCGATGCATTCCGCAGCTTTATAGACCTGTAGGCGAGCATCCTCTTTTCACTGTTATCTTATACCTTCCTCATGAGATTCCCCATCCTCAGAATCAGGTTCAGTTCTCGTTTTTTCCACTTCTTTACAGGTACTTGTCCCAGATGTTTTTCCTTCCTTTTAAAATTGCTTGTGGATGGATCTCATAGTCTTACCTTTCTTGCTTGGGGATGGCTGTGACTCCTGTGACTCTGCATGCATGGATGAGCAATACATGTACGTTAGGTATGGATCGGGAAATATAGAATAGCCATTTAACTTTGTACAATAATGGTTGTTTTCTTTCCATAGTCTTTTGCTGCACAGAGACTATAGATTGTCACTATATGGGCAATCAAAAGTTCTGTGTGATAAATACAACTATCACAATCTTTGGAATCTGTAGTAGCATCTCATTCCTTATGTATCTGGTAGTGTCATTCTCAAAGTCTCTCACTCTAAATATATCTTCATCTTACACATATGTTACAGTATCGTAAAACAGAATTGGTTCAAGGATAACATCAAGCTATAGATGTAAATTGTAATGGGAAAACTTCCATCTTAAAGAGCAACTAAACACAACGGTGTTGTAACTGTGGGGGGTTCATAGGTGCTACCAACTGACCTGGCCGATATCTAGACCTTTTAGCCGAATCGTTACAGCATCATGTGGACTGAGAATCTGAATCTATTATAATAAGAAAACTGGTAAACGCACCTTCCAAACTCTCTGCAGTGGCCCGTTCATCAATGTCAATGAGTGCCTGCTTCAAAACCTGTAGAGTAGCCTCCCTTCCCTCCCTGTTTCTCCACCTGTGCAGCACTTCTCTGCACCTGTGGTCTTGATCAGGCTTCAATGTCTCATCTGTCCTGATTCCTTTTATTTTGTTCTCGTTGAACCCTAACTTCCGGGCCAGGTCGTCCCACTTGTGGCTGACGCCATCGATGACTTTGTCAAAATATTTCTGCACATCAGCTGTAACATTTAAGGGCATTTCATGACGACATGAATATAACCAGTATTATGTATGAAGTATTACACTTTAGTGGGTTTTTCTTCCATTGCTTTGTCATTTGCAGTTGTAGATGCTGGCATTTGTCAATAACCTTCTACAGCACCAAACATTAAAGCTAGAACGGCAGTTAACTTAGAGCTACTAAGAAAACATCTGGACTCCATCTGTAAGCAGGAAGGATCTCCCCATTTGTTACATTTTTCAACAAGGAAAATGAGTTAATGGTAAAGCGGGCGAGTGTAGGTATATTTGTAGTAATTGCAGGTGTCCAAGGTTTCTTTCTGGGGCCTTTGACTGCAGTTGTAGAACTATTACTTTATAGATGTCATGACTTCATTAAAATGAATATGCCTACATTGTTATATCACTTTATAACTTCTCACCTTCCGCTGGTTTCTTCTTCTCTGGAAACTCTTCTCCATCCTCCCCCTTCCTCTTCAGCTGGCTGCTAGAGGCTTGGGGTGAACCTGTCTCAGAGAGGTGGATTCAGGTATCAGTAATGACGTCAACTCAGCTTCTGCAGTGCCATGGCTATCATGATGTGCACAATTATTTATCAGGATGAGAGGTTATTTACTGTCTTTACTGGCACCTGTATTTTACCTTCAGAACATTGTGATTTTTCTCACCTGCAGTTTCACCTGAGCACCCAGCCACCCCCTGGCCCTCAGCCATGACTCACACAGGTGTCAGCTACATCATTATAGGAATACCTGGAACAGACAGGTGTGTGTCAGGTATGCATGTGGTAACAACACCTGGAACAGACAGGTGTGTGTCAGGTATGTGGTAACAACACCTGGGACAGCCTAACAGTGTGTGAAACAATATCTTGTAGCTTAAGTATCAATTGATGTACTAGTAATTTCTAACCACATATTATTAAATGGATTTACAGTATACACAAGATACAGTATGCAAATTAGGATATGGGCAAATACCTGATTTTTAGTACTTATCATTTATAATCAGGTGGAGATAATTTCTGTTTCAGTATCGTTTAATCTCAGAACAAAAATAACGTTAGTTACGTTACCCGAGCGTGTGAGATGGTCTCATCATATTTAGTTAAGTTTTTTTTGGGTTTGGGGGGGNGGGGCGGGACGAACTACGTAACTAA